GACGTTGGGTGTGATACTGGCGGGTTTTGCCGCAAATCACTCTTATTTTATTTATTTTTTACGCAGAGAGATTTATTTGGGTTTGCAAGGGAATTATACTATTGAAATATTTCAGAAAGTGCCCAACAGTGCTCCTTCTATTTGCGTGACAAGCTTTCATTGTTGTTTTCATTGAAGTATTACTCAGAAAACAATGTTAAACATCATTTTTGTACATGGTATTGTAACTAATCTTATATGTGCTTCATTTTGATTTGGGATAAGTGTTTGAACTATGGCTCGGGATTTCCACTGTGGTGTGCTTCTATTGTGACATATCCATATGTATTTTTGTGGTGCCACATAGTGGAAACGTGAGAGCGTAGTTGGAACATTTACCCTATACAATATACAATTTAAAATTAGCTTGGAAACTAACTTCAAAGTGAAGCATTTTAGTCACTTGAAGGTGTCATCTGGGACGAACAAAGATATAAGATAAGATATGTAAAAGCCAGAAGTACTTGAAACACGTTAAATTGTAGTTTAAAAGCATGGGTTATGTAGGTAGATTAGAGATTTCAGTTATTTATTAAATAAACTTTAATTATAGAATTCAGAAAGTTAATTAACATAAGAGATAAGACGCGGGGGGTCCGCTTAGGGAGGCGACTAGCCTATGAAGTTGTATAATAAATCTTCCTATTTAGTGTATTTGTTAATTACAGACAATGTCAATAGCGAAAGTCATATCTTCAACCAGGCGCTTACGAACAAGTGAAATTTTAGGAAAGATGTGTTAAATATGTTGATAGGTTTGAAATAAGAATTAAAATTGTTGTGCTTTAGTTTTCGGTAAGGTATGATGTGTCAACAAAGCCCTTTTGAGCAAATTTTCAAACATCAAATTGATTGAGTGATTTATTGAAAGACATTGCGTTGCGAAAATTGACAAGTCATACATCTAACATAGTAGTAGTAGCAGTGTCGCATAATCTTATCACAATTGCTGCAAATAGTGCTTGAGGGGCCAGCAGGGCTGAATACGGATCAAAACTAACATAACTACTAACACTTAAATGATCCCGGAACTAACACTTATCCATTGCACTTTTAGTTATTTATTAGTTTTATTTTTCTACTAAGTGATCTATGCTTCTTTCTATTGTTTGGATCAAGTACAACTAATACTAATCTGCCTTTATGTATGTTTTACTTCCTTTTAACCCATTATCTTTATGAATGGCGACTCATATGACGTGAGACACGTACAAGCTGGAACTCACAGAATTACTTCGAACAGGATATCAAACAAATTCAGGGCCAATCCAAATGAGTCCAGAAACCAACAAAGCATCGGGGAGCATATTCTGGGAGAGGTATTTGATAAATAATCAAAAAGTGGTAAGTTAAATTCAGAGCCAAGGATCATGAGAGGTAATTGTCAATAATTCATTAATTAGTAGAAATCTCGATAACTTTTCCAAGGGAGCGTATCGGCTTTTGTAGGCGGTGCGTTTGGTCGTCGATTTGGCGTAACTGGTGGCTTGCCCGCGCGTGCTGGCACTATCATCAGATAGGGGAAATTTTCCTCTGCCTCCTGGTGGTGTTGGTAAGCGTGTGCGAGATGCCGGTTGCGCCGGATCGACGATCGGATGCATTGTTTGCAGGAGCTGGTGCTTCCCTTTGAAAAAGTAATCGAGAAATAACCATATTATCCTGTAATTGATATTACTATTTTTATATATCAATGAAATTAGTCATGACAGAGTAACAGATGGGGAAGGACAATAGACACAAGTTGACACAATAAACAAGACAAGTGGGGGTTAATACTCAAGACAAAATGACAAAATAAGTGACGACAGAAGACAAGACTGGGACGAAAATCAACCTTTTAAAAAAACAAGAATGCGCAATTATATTATCAAAACTATTTGGATCAGCACAAAAACAACAGTGACCACACGGGCACCATAGCCTAGGAACGTCTGTGTGTTGATTTAAAATAGAGGCTCATAGAAGCAAAATTTATCAATAAAAGGGGTCCAGTGTAGAGTTTTAGCAAGTTGCTGCCACTGGATCACTACAAAAAAAAAAAAAAAAAAAAAACTTCAAATGGCTTGTGCGAAGTCTGTTTCTAACCAAATGAGTTGTAACTTTGGGAGTCTAATCAGGACCTAATTTGAAACCATTTAAGCACTGTGGAGCGAAAAAGTTAAATTTTGTATCAGTCTACTGGTCATGGCCCAACTAACGAATTCAGGCTGTACTACGTTCAGACAATACTGCCCGGTGCGGCATAACAGTCCCATTAGCATTTTTGGCGATAATGAGTTATACATTGGAATCGATTGTCAAGTACCATCACTTTACAATAGAGTTCTCTACCACCGTTAGTATTAGTGAGAAGTTTCACTACTGGTTGAAAATAAAAAAAACAAACCGCTTTCAAGTCGAACACTGACAGCTTATTTCGTGGTTGAAAATAATAAACAAATTGATTTTACACGACTATGTTGTCCCACCCCAATGATGTTTATATAAGGTCTGGGCCAAAGGGCTTATTGGTGTTAGTGAAATGTGCAAATGTTTAGTGGTGTTCGTATTTTATTGCAATGTTTATCTTTTTACACGAAACAGCTGTTGGCAGTGACGTATTTCTATCTGTTCTCAGTATGTTGGCAGCAACATTGGCAACTAACAGAAAACAAACTTTCAACAATAGAAGAATCGGTAACCCAAATTTGCACGGTAAGAAAAAAGTACCCAAAAGTAAGTTCTTTTCACTTATCTCGGCACTATATGGCCGTTGGGTACTTTTTTCTTACCGTGTGTATAATCGAAATATATACACGGTAAGAAAAAACGCTCAAAATTAATTTTAAAAATAAACAACGTTTGGTTCTAGAAACTGGTGTAGTGGTAAGCGAGATTGCCTCTCACTCCAAAGGACCTGGGTTCAATCCCAGTCGGCGCCGTCGGGATTTCCTTCGGAAGGGAAGTAAAGCCGTAGGAAAATCTTTTTAATTCTTAACTTCTCAGGTTTTTTTTTAATTATAGTCACTTTAACGCTCTTGGGTCATTCGTGACTTGTCCGGGGGTGAGATTAGAACTCGTGACTTTGGCGTGAGATGTATGGATACTAACCACTACGCCGGGGTTGCCCCCAAATTTTCAGGTATGCATAGCGCATTTCTGGCCATATTTGTTGTTAGTTGTGAACCAATTTACAAAACTCATACAAAAGCGTATCTATATGGTTAAACATTCGATACGATATCCCTGCTTGGGGTTTGCAATGTTAAATTCCTTTTCGAAAACTATGATTAATCAGACTAGAGGAGCCAGTCGAATCAGGTTATGTTCGATATAGAGATTCTGCAGCGGCACGGTTTTTCATATCTATCAAAATAGGTCAAGTTTACCCAGATAGAAAACGACAACATCTGAGTAAACTTTATCGAGTTTCCTTCAAAAGTATGTTTACCCAGTTTTGACCGAACTGGGGTTTCAAATAGCGTGTAGGCTTTTAACGCTTCTGTAGTGAGCATTTTTTCGGCTCACGACTTTAAGCAAACATCTAAGATTCAATATTATACGTATTAGATGAATCTGCTGAACAACTGTCATTGAAGTTGCTCACAACATTACGTGCTATTTGACTGCATATTCAGGAACATCCTCTATTTGAATATACCAGGGGAACTCAGACCAGCAGTTCACTTATAGAGCTAAATACGAAATGTAGGTTCTAGAGTGAGCTCAAGAGGAAGAGGCAGTTAATCAGACCCCATTAGTAACCTTAATTCAAATAATGCTGCATCTCACACAAAACAAACTGCAGAAGTCTATTCATCATCCTCTATAGACGGTCTCCAACAATGTTCCCCACTTGTTCCGGCCGCTGATAGACCGTTGCTTTTCACATCACGAAAGGCTAGGTTTCTGGTCTACCTTTGAGGACATTATATTACCCTAAAACACAGGACTTCTATTATCCTATGAAAGCAACACAAACAAATTTCCTCAATCCAATTTATCCTTGCGATTTCAAACCAAAACATTCCAGGTGTCATGACCGGCACAATTGGCACACATGCGGCACACTGTCAAAAAATATGACCCAAGATTGGTGTGCGGATTGACCTACCTGTTGACAAAATCGTTGATATAATGATTTACTACAGCCACTATTTTTTTTTCTCGCTAGAAGTCATTTGATGTTGATGTAGAAGTCCTCTGTTGCCAAGTGAAAAAAAGCGAATCTTTCGAAAACCGTGATGCGAGTTCAACTTTTTTCTCTCTTGGCGTGACTCATTATACACCGACTCTAGTCTAATCATAACAAGTAAGTGTGAGTAGGACGAAACAGAATACGGAACCAAAAAAGGGGGAAACAAAATAGCATCTCCGCTAGGATACAGACTGAGAAAGTTGATTATCGTTGATTAAACGCTAAACAACTCATCCGTTTGGATTGAAGTTGCAAAACGCATCGCGTTCGATCAAATAGACTGACTAAACGGAAAACAAAACATAGGTAGGGGGCATAGATGTAATGTCGGCCTAAATGCCTCTAATTTGGGACAATAGATAAATTCAGCAATCGACTCAATTTTCAATAGCGACCAAAAATAACCATTAGTACCGTCCCAATGACGCGTTCATCTAGATAAAATTGATAAATAGCAGATTTTTAGCGATGGGCCCAATTTTAGATCCATTAGCCAACATTAGAGCCATTTCCCCTATTAAACATTTTTCGGTAGGAAAAGTGAAAAATCGGTAGTTTAGAACCTTTCGTCTGTGAATCGGTAGGCATCCTGAAAATCGGTAGAACTACCGATAAATCGGTAGGTATGCCCACCCTGATTTAAGCATAGCATGAGCAGTTGACAGTTTTCGGACTGTTCATGTTGTTTTACTGTAAGATAAGATATTGGTCAATGCCTTCTCAATGTTCCAGAAAATGCTACAGATGAATCGATTGGTCTCTTGAAAGCACCTGTGGACCAATATTTATTTGTATAAATTATTCTTTATTCAATATAATTATTATTTTACATTAAATAATCATTGTTTTATACATAGTTTTTATGCTATTCGTTATGCTTAATTTATAAAATTAAAATTATGAAATCATCACTTTGCTAGACAAAGCTTCAACCTAAGCAATTCTAATGTGCTCTTGGTTGTCTTCTGTCATTTTGAAATTTCTGCTTGAGATTCTACCATTAGCGGGTCTAGCAGTGGCTGTAATAGTTTAAAGCAAAGAAAATCACCCTTTTTAGCTTCATTGGATGGAGTAAATAAGTTGAACGTAACCTAATTTTTGGTTCCAATTTTGTCATGAATAAGCGGTTTCTGTCTATCCTATCATTCTACAGCGTCCTCGACAATGTCCAAGCATTATAAGATTTAAAATTAGGGTATTTTACTTACGAAAGGAACTGATTTTTATCGCTTGAGGAAAATATATGTACAATGATACTCTTCTACATCCTGTCCTTCTATAGCTGCCTATCGTCAATCTCATTAGTTCTTGTCTAGCAAATTTCGATAATTCGGTTAAAAAAAAAACACGAAATAAAATGTCAAATTTTTCAATCACCATTTGATGCATATTTGTGCCGGCAGCAACACTACCACTAACGTCGATTAGTTTTGAACTATTGCGTGATTTACGTGATTTTTGTCAATATTAATTTGTCAACTGTTCCTCTATGAGGGACTCTGCCTGCATTCCCTTTCTCTTTATATATCACAAAGAATCTCTTGTTTATTTCCTAACCTTAAATCTCGCAATTTAATCCCCCGAGTAAGGATGCTAATGTTGAACATACTAGGCACGGGTACTAAAGAACAGTTAGCTTGTTTTCCATGGCTGTGAATTCTATTTAATTCCTATATCGAGTGCACCATCCGACTGGACCATTCTGCTATAAATTGAAGACTAATCCACGATCATTCTCACTGATAGTGGTAACATACTTCTACATATTGAACGACAGCGGCTTAATGTTGGCAACCGAACTCATTCGTCGCACGCGGCCCATCATCTTTCGCTCGATGTCCTCGAGGGATTTGCCCTGCGTCTCGGGCACGTATATTATCACAAACACGAAACCGACTACACAAATCGATCCAAACAGCCAGAAGGTGCCGTGCGTACCGATGGCCTCTGCATTTGTGTGAAAGAGAGTAAGTGATGCGATCATTAGTTGGTTGTATTCTTGGTGTGCTCAGTGCAACAATAATACTTACGTATGATATCAGAGAACGTCTTTGTGACGATGAAAGTACACGACCAGTTGAAGGCCGTTGCTACCGAGGCTGCTGATCCTCGGATTTTTCCCGGCAGAATTTCACCCATCATCAGCCACGGGATAGGTCCAAATCCTAACGAGAAGCCAAGGACATAAATTACGAAAGCAGCAAGCGGTAGCCAGCCGACCTGCGAGACATCTTGTCCACTGTTCTTCGCATAGAAGAATCCACCCAATGTCATCAGCGTTATGACCATGGCGATGTCGGAAATATATAACAGCATCTTTCTGCCCAACCGATCAATCAGCATAGTGGCGATAAACGTTGCGATAAAGTTCACTACACCAACAATAATTGTACACAAATTTTCGTCGATCGTTGATCCAGCGTCCTGGAAGATCTGCACCGTATAGAAAATCACAGCATTGATACCAGAAAGTTGCTGGAAGAACATCAAACCAAGCGAAATAAGCAGTGGCTTGAGATTGGCCTTCTTCATAAGATCAAATATTGCACTCTTGGATGCATGTCGCTCCGCATCCTGGTGGGACTTGATAATACCCTTCAGCTCGGGGTCTACATCTGCTTTCTTGCCTCGGAGCCACTGCAAGGCTTTACGAGCACGATCATCACGGCCACGCGAGACATACCAACGAGGTGTTTCTGGGATAAGGAACATCAAAATCAAGAATGGCACAGGTAAGGCCGCTCCAAGGAACGCCAGTCCCGACCAGTCCATATAATTTCCAGCGACGAAACACAACAGGATGCCGATGTTGCCGAAAGCGGTTGGAAGTAAACCAAGTGTTCCTCGCACCTCCGGCTGTACGGTCTCACCAAGATACACTGGAAGGGATAGCGATGCAACGCCGACTGAGAATCCAGACAAGGCGCGACCTGAAATAATTTACATAGTTTAATTCTCCCGTACCTAACAGCTATTGTAGTTCACGCTGTACTTACCTACTAGAACCATTGCAACGTGGGTAGCGCAAGCAATCAGCAGCCACGAGATGATGAACGGGGTTGCCGTTGCCAGGATGGTGTTTTTCCTACCAAGATACTCGATCAGCGGTCCCCCAAGGATACCCCCAACAAGACCGGCCAAGGGCATAATTCCACCGACCCATGAACCCTGTAATCGATAAAAAAGCATACTCAAAATAAACAAAACGAATCGCAGGCACGCATACACAGGGGGGAAACTGAGAGGGGAACAGGGGGGAGGGTAACGTACATTTGGTGTGATAAACAATCGGCACTTTAATCGTAATCTGTCGTAAGTTGGGAGCATAAGACACACTAGTCCTTGAGGCACGTTCGCAAGCGTTGACGATATTCGTGTCTATTTTTAGACTTCAGTCGATTTGCAAAAAAAATATACCCACTGTCGTGTCGTATTTAAGGTTTAGCGTTGTTGTTTTTTTTTTCTTCTACATGTTGTGCTAATGACGTAGAATGCGCCGCGCCGCAAAACGAAGCAATGTGTTCTGTCGTGGTTGAAGTTGAACTTTGAGCCGGTTGTACGAAATGTTTTGGCTGACGCTTCGACTGAAAGAAGGGCGAGCGTTCTTGGTTATTGTTAATTATGAACATTAACTGTCCGGGATCCAAACTGAAAATGAAGTTGGCGTTTTTTTTTTTTGAATAATGTATCTTGGTTTCTGCCTGTATCTGTTTCCGAATATTTTCATACTGCTGAAAATGTTGCTACCTAAAATTTGAATGCAGATTATCACGCTACATAAATGGTTCTGTTTTAACACTTTAAATCCGTTTTTTTTCAAACACAGTAGTTGAATTAAAAAAAATTCTATTACACCCAACCGAAAAAAATATTAGATTCTATAACAGATTTGCATGCAAAGTATGCAGAATTTGCAATGTTTCGCGACAGATTCTGTAATGTGGTTGGCGGAAGGTTTTGAAAATAATTTTGTAATTTTTATGTTAGCTTATTTTTTGTCAAGTCTGAAAAAAATTGCTTGCACGTCCATTACAATAACTGCCATTACAGTTGTTGTATGATACATATGTAGAGGATGTAATAAATCCAACCTTACATTGGATGTAAGACAACATTTGCTTTGCGTGTAGATACATAGTGTGCAAAATCAGCCTGTTTCGACAAACAATAATCCGGAATTGATCGTAATTCAACAATGAAAAAGAAAAACTAGTGTCTTTTCCAACAATACCAAATCATCAGAAATCGGTATGAAATATTCGAAGATATTACAAAAGTATTGTCTATTCACCCGACCGGGAAATGTATTACTATATTACAGATTTGCATAAAAAGCATACATAATTTACAATGATTTATCGCATAACGGATTCTGTAATGTGATCGTTAAAAGGCACTGTGGCAAGAAAATCATCTCCTGAAGATTTTATACGAAAATATTCATTCTGGTGTTCATGTCATTTTTTGCGTGTTTCATTGGAAATAAAACGTGCAAAAACCGTCGCAGAAGGTTAGGGCGTGTTTTACCTCTAAAGGCCTGTCTAGAGATCGAAGCGAAGCGAAAATCTCATACTACATTTTTCACCTGCGTAAAAAATGCAATTGGCAAATATTTCGCTTCGCTTTGAACTGTAAACAGATACGATCCAGCGAAATCTAATTTTGTGGATCGTATCTTTTTCGCTTAGGTTTATTTTTTTTTTCGCGCATGCAGCGCTAGCGAAAAGAGCAGCAACTAAGCGAAAAGTTGACGTTTCGAGAAAGAGCGTATCTGTCAGATTTTCACTTCACCGGAGGTGTAATCTGATCGATTTCGTTTCACATGAACTGTAAACTGTGAAAAAAGGAAACTGGAAAATGTTCCACAAACATTTTTTCACAACCTTTTTCGCTAGCGAAATTTCATGATTTTTCGCGTGCTTCAATTTTCGTTTCGCTTCGATCTGTATACTAGGCTTAATGAAACAGACAATAGTGAGGAATGTGTTTTGGATTTGGAGACCATCACCGAATCTAGTTTTCCGCACGGTGCGCATTTGCTCAAAATTCGAAACAGTGTTTGCCTGCTACTTCATGGTAATATGAAACATGTAGCGGTTTGAAAGTCATGTGTTCTAAACTGATGAAAATAGCTCTACCTCATTGAGGCGTCCCTTACCATGTATTACACTTCAATTAGCATTCATCATCGCAAGCTCATCAATTACGCTGAATGCTAAAAGTTACTTTAAATATTACGGCATTGAATCATGCATCGATAATAAATATGCAAATGAGTACCTTATAGCTTCATCGCTTGAAAGTATCCTACCCTAAAAGGGTCGAATTTACGTTGGCTTCCGTGATCGTACTCTGATTGTTCACAAGTGATTATCAATAATGGTGGAATTTGTTTATCCTTTAGCGCTTACTGAAGTATATTCACAGATCGTGATTAAATTTCCTTCCATTGGCATTTGGTAATGCGATTATGATATGTTTGGCTTTGGCTTTGGCTAAAATTCTGTACGCAAATCAAACAGAAAATACATCAAATGTAAGTTCGGGATTCTTAATACATCCTCTGTACATGTACCTTAGAAGAAATAAAATGTAAATAGTACTAATAACAGACTGTGATGAACACATAAACGACGTAGCATATTTTTTACCAATTTTAGACCCCCTCCTCTCCCTCGTTGAGTATTTTGCTATATCTAATAGGTAATGCAGGTAATGTCGGCCTAAGTGTCCCTAATTTGGGCCCATACGACTAAATTTTCAATAGCAACCAAAAATATCCATTAGTAACGTCTCAATAACGCGTTCATCTAGATAAAATTGATAAATAGCAGATTTTTAGCGATGGGCCCAATCTTAGATCCATAGGCCAACATTAGAGCCATTTCCCCTACATGGCCGGTCTCTTATAGATTTTTTTTTTTCGTACCAAGCCTTTACACAATGAGTCGTTTAAGAACGCTTTTTATTCATTTGCATTCATTCCGCTTTTTTTTAGGTTTTTTATTTGTCGATTCTCAATTGCTGTAGCTTTACTGAGCCGAAATTATATTTGTAAAGTATAATTTTCGCTGTCACGATGTGTTTCTTATTATAATATTATTGCTTATCATTTGACTACAATTCACTGGTAAATCTTTGTCAGTCATAAAATGTTCGTGTGTACGAAGATAATATGGTTCGGTTGTTGGTAACTGTTGGAAATAACCTAAACCAGTTGTTCTTCTGAGACAAAGTTTTATGAGATATTGTTCACAACTACTTAATACGTCAATGAGCAAGCAATTTCACAAGTCAAATGTTTCTTTTTTATTTTTGGATTGATTGCTCCTGACAGTTAAGTGATGGATCCCGTTTTATCGAATCTGTATTAAAGATAGGCACGTATTTCTATATAAATATTCTAAAGCAACAAGTTTTGTCTTGAGCTGCTTTCAACTTCTCAGATGCAATACAAATTGCAGCCAGTTGCCTCTAGTACATACTACCTGGAAGGCTCGGGAATTACTTATGAATTTTTTGTTTTCAAAATGCTGGTCCAAGGATAGCTCCCCAGATTTGAGTGTTTAGTATTTAGCTTTATACTCAAGCGTCGAAACCCTCAAAACGTCCATCAAGAAAAAATGGAAGAATATGTTAGAACATTACATTCGTAAGACGTGCCACGTGACAGTCGTATCAGCTTACAGTGGTAATATAGAATATATAAACAGAAAATCAACTATTAAATAACAATTGATTGGCGTTCTTTAATTCAATAAATTTGTTTTTCGATATTTGAGTGTATAAAGATCGAAGTGTCATTTAATTTTATCGCACCCTGTAGGTCAAATGTATTAGTAAAAATAAACTTAACTCACAGCATTAAGCTAATGCCCAAACTACACAGATAAAAGATCTGAATTTTAATTGTGTAGTAAACATTCATTCACGTAAACTTGTATTTCATTTCACGCAACCGAGCAACTTGTAAACAATGTTGTTTACAAAGATGGGCTTTTGTACACAATATTTGCTACATTGCATGAAATGTCTCAGAACTTTACATGATATATAATGTAACGTTATATGATATGTGACGCTCCATTTATGTGCATCATATTGAACATAAATTTACACAAATTTTTCGAAATGTGTAGGCAGCTACAACGGTTAGAAGCGGTTTTCGTGTTTCAAGAAAAATTATTCTTATATCACGAAAGCCGTTTATAACACGTTACAACTCCCTAGTCTGGACATGGCTTAGTATTTTATTTATAAAACTAGTCGATGTCTTCTGTTGACCACATAACAGTATTTCTATATAAGGTGATTTATTCAAGATGTCACATACCCATCTTTTATACAGAATTGTAAGAAAATCATACATTTCCGATTCCAGATCTTCACCATGTATCATTTGAGGTTGCAATGGACAGCATTTTTCATGTTCTTCCAGTATCGCGCCTGTTTCGTTTAGCTATCAAACATCTTTAAATATTTCATTTGCAATGTATGGCCATAGTTTTCACAAAAATAAAACAGTAACAGAATCAGTAAATATTAATCTTTATAGTATGTTATATTTATAGATTCACAATACCTTCTGATTCAAATTACAAACATGCGCTAACTGACCACCATCACAAAACACAGAATTTTTACACGACCATTGAATCTGACCCATATTTGAGTTCCTTTTGCTCAAATTCACAAAAACGTAGGTCACTCATAGGAACAACACAAAGCACAGACGAATAAACACATACACATATCTGTGTTTGCACGTCAAAAATAAACAGACGTGCAACGACCTTAAACTATGAGCTTGTGGTAATGCAAAATGTGCGCTCATGCAGGATGTACTTGTAATCCAAAATTTATTAATTTTTAATGTTTGAGTGAAGAATAATAATGGTCCATGGTGTTTATAATGGAATGAGCTTCTTTTGTGCTTATGTTGTGCGCTCTTACTCACATCGCACGTCTCCCAAATTGTTTGCGTGCTCTCTCTGGTGTCTTGCTCTCAAAAAAATCGAGTGCAGAAGACTAATAGCGCCAGCACAACCTTTTTTGAGCTGTGCGCGTGCTTCCAGACGGTCCCTTCTCATAGTCATGCCCATAAAATTTTACTCATAAATGTCACCCACATTTACTCATACATGAGTGACATTTACTCATATTTGAGT